CCATCATCAGATACCATATATAAGCCGGGACCCTAATTAAAATCATAAGAAAAAAAAAGTTTTCTTTTAACTTAATTTACTCAAACATACTCGTTTATCCCAACCAATGATCATTGTACCCATTGATAAACCCATACCACGATATTCAAAGACCATATTTACAAGAATTTTTGAAGCAGCTGCAACGGAAATTTTTTCTTTATTACGTAATTCATAGATACGACAATGACGTGCAAGTACTCGTTCCCAAAAAGCACAATCGGCAGCACCACCAGCCATTGTTCCCAATAAATAAGGATTGATTTCAATTACTTTTTTCACTTCTCCCGATGCTATATAAAACACACACACACAAAAAACAAAGAAAAAGAAGTATTCATTCTAATTAGATTGATATATATTTTTTTTTATATGAAACAAACCAATAAAACCGCCAGCAGTTGCACGACTGTCAACAGCAACCATAACACCATTACGAAATTTAAAAGCTAATGTTGTTGTACCCTTAAGAAATTGAATTCGAACACGATCAACATTTTCATTAACCTTTTTTAAATATTTAGCTGGCTTGAAAATAAAAATAAAATAAAACGAACATTAAATAGATTATCAAGATAAATAAAAATCTTACATCAGCATATGGTGGTAATGTAATAAATTGAGCAATATTATCAATATTCAATGTCGGACAAAATTCATCAATTTGATCATCTGTTTTTTTACATTGAATTGATCGATTAAATGCATCGTTCGATTTAAATCCAAGTACATTTGCTAAAGCCATATGTTATTTTGCTAAAATACGATCTAAAACAAAATTTTAAAATATAGATGTAAAAATTTCGATCCCCGACAAATGTTGTCAATATGCAATCACAGATCGTATATACATAACATCTCGTTAAGATATATGTACTAATTCCTTATTGCATTGCTAAAGAAATAAGTCAAAGGACAATGAAGAAAGATGTCTGAAAATATATATAGAATAAAACGATTTCCATGCAAAGAATAAAAGTAGTGACATGGTGTTACACGTTTTCATCTCACAGGGATTGCGGTAACAGCTTTTTTTAATGAAAAAAAAAAAAGTATGAAAATAGCAATCATCAATTTTTATTAAACTCTTCATCATTTATTCACACAAGCATTACATGGATTGGTGTGATTGTCATACCATTCCACATTATGTATAGGCGAAAAAAAATGTGATTAAAATGAATAAATATTATTTATTTTTTTTATTCTTTTGATTTCTAGCTATGAAATTCATATAATAGTTTAATTATTAAACATATTTTCATGTCGCTACAATCAATGTATAATTAAATTATTGTATTAATTAATTTCAAAAAATAAAATAATTCTTTAATATTTAGTTTTTGTTTTTCTATTTCAAAAATTATAGTTTCAAATATTTTTATTCGTTTTTTTTTTCATATTATATTAATCCATATAATACCATAATAAAATTTTTCCTCCTCCATTTAAAGATCAATCAAAAGAAAAAAAAAATCTATCTAATTCAAAAAAGTTTTTCTTCTCATCAAACATTTAATAGTTTTAGATAAGCCGCTAATCTTATTTATCAAATACGCGGTCTATTCTCCAATAAATTAATACATTACTTCAATCAATATGTGTTTATTATATAATTTCCAATAAATCAAGAAAAAAGAAACTTTTTTTTTTGGTTTTGTTTTTCTCAATAAAAAAAACAATGACTACAGCATCATCAGGTCTTTCACCTGAAGCAAAAGAATTTGTACCATTAGTACAAAATCCAACACCAAGCATTCCATTATATGTTGATGAAAATACAGTAGCGTCTATTTATCCTTCTGATCAACAACCATTAATGGTTCAAACAATATATCCAATGATGATAACAAATTCAAAAATAACAGATAATCTGCAATTTCCTGAAATTGAATTTCATATACAACCATCACAACAACAACAATTTCATATTGATTCATGTACAAATATTCAACAACAGCAACAACAATCTTCATGTAATGGAAATACATCTTCAACTAATACATCACAAATTGTTCTTTTACCAATAACAAATCCAACAAATTCTATTACATTAACTGGTTATTATCCAGAACCACAAATAATTTATTCAACAAATGAACAAGTATCTACATATTATCCAGTTGATTATTGTGAACAACCATTAATAAATTTTTCACTTCAACAACCGACATTAATAACAAAATCCAATCGAATTTCATCGCAACAACAAAGATCTACTTCATTTCGTCAACATCATGGAACAAATCATTCAATACATCGTCCATTATCTCGTGGTGGAAATCGTGGTGGTAGTGGACATAATAATAATCGAAATTCATATTATGATTATAATAATCGTCGAAATTGTTCATCATATATACAAAATTCTGGACGAGGAAATTCAACAAATAGTAAACGAATATCATCATATCATCAACATGATTATAATAATTATTATCATTCATCATCATCATTGAGATCACGAGGTTATTTATCACGTACATCACAACAATATGATGAACGTCGTAAAGACCATTTTCATGATTATTATAATCAAGAAAATGATTTTTATGAAAATGATTCTCAACAATCAAGTCATATTAATGATGATGGTACACAATTTGAATTTCGACCAGAAGATTTTCCAAGTTTACCTATTAATAATCAACCATCTGATAAAACTTCATCTTCAATGATTATGCCAACTAATACAAAGTAAATTTGTTATATAATAACTTCGAAAATTATTCAACTAGATTTATTTTCAATTGTTTTTTTTCCCATTATCGTAACCACAACTAAGAATTCAATATAGTAATTTTTGTAGAAAATATTATGTCCCACAAGAATTTTCGAATATAAAAATGATTGTTTGTTTTTTAATGATAGATTCTCTGAAAAATCAAAACTCAAGGTTTTTATCTCCTGAAATTCTGTTTGAATTATTCAGAATGATAGAGCAAATAATTCTCTACAAAATGAAATAACTCCCAGCTCTTTATGACCTTATTTTTTCGATCGAGATACATCAATCTTATGGAAGGTACAAAAAATAATGTTTCTATATGAAATAGTAGAAAAAAAATGATTTTATGCTTTCTGTAAGATTGATGTATCTAGGTCAAAAAGTGTTGTAGAGAGCTAGAAGACATTTCATTTTGTAGAGAATTGTTCCCTTTGTCATTCTCGGTAATTCAGACAAAATTTCAAAAAATGAAAACATTAGATTTCGATTTTTCAGACATCCTATCCTTGGAAAACTAGCGTATCATTTTCATGTTCGAAAATTCTTGTTGAATATAAAATTCTCCACAAGAAAAACTCATTATATGGATTCTTATTAGCATTTACGACAGAGGAAAAAATAGAAAATGGACTTAGTCAAATAATTTTGAGAGCCACTGTGAATAATAATTAACAAAAAAAGACGCATTCTAAATACTCACATTTTTAGACCGACATCATCTTGGAATACAATTGTATCTGCTTCACGTCCTCGTTCTACTTCTCCACATTCTGTTCTTCAATCTCAAGATCAACGATCTGATCGAAGTCGTTCATTTAATAATAAATTATCATCAAATAATGAACGAAAATCATCTATAAAAAAGCCGATCCTTGAAACAAAAACAACAACGAAATCACCGAATCGTGCTTCCAAAAATCATTCTCCAGAAAAACAACAACAACAACAACGTTCACAATCATTAATCAATAATAATCCTTCAATTATTGAAAATAATATTCAAAAAGATGATACTAAAGATGATGGTTTTATTCAAACAAAACAACAACATCGACGTTTAAAACGTAGAAATAAAAATAAAGAAGAATCATCAACATCTCTTATTGAACAATCACTTACAAATGAAACAGCTCCATATATTCTTGATGATGAAAATGCTTTTCCTACTTTAGGACAACAAACATCTCATTTAACAACAACTAATCAAAAAACCGAAAATGATTCTACTCAAGAATTGATACATAAATCAAATTCAAAAACACATCAAACCTGTTTAACTGATATGTTTAATACATTAAGTACAACAACACAAGAAAATTCTAATCATAAAACAAGTACTATAACAATAAACAATACAACTAATTCATTTGATTCAAAATCAATATCGAAAAATGTTAAAGAACGTGAACAACCTAAATCACGTAAATCAACTAAACTTAAACGTAGTATTAATAAAGAATTTGAAGATAGTCAAAAACAACGACAAGAATCTTTCTCGAAAGTAATAATAGAAAAGTCATCGGATGAAAAAATTGTTCAAAATGAAACTGATACAAATATAGAGAATGTTATAGAAACGTAAGTTACCGTTGTATGTTTTTTTAAAAACTTTTCTCTTATTACGTGCACATAGCAATAAGTTATTTTTGTTTTTTTTTTGTAAACACAACTCTTTAGTGTTCATTACGGATTTGTTTCAATTACATACTGTTATAAATGAATGTACAACTAATCAGGAGATCCCAAAGGTAGAATCCGTCGACTCGAAAATTTTCGAACCTGATTAACGAAAAGTTTTCAGATCCGGAAGGAAAAATACTCCTGCCTTTCGGCGACCATGCGGAGTGAGGTGCTGCCTAGCAGTCGATTCAATAGCCCAATATCTTCCCTACAACTATGACCAACTGTGTAGCATTGGGAAGAAGGCCAGCCTGATGCAGAGTTCTTTCGCTCAATTGCTTGAGCTCTACCGTACATACTAAGTAACACATACTAGCCACAAGAATAGTTGTATGCCATAACGTAGTCAGCGTACTATTGGACAGGTAATCCGAGACAAACAGTTGTTAGTGACTTGCCCAGAATCATTTCATGGATAATGATACCGAGGTTTGAACATGGTCATTTGTGGATACATGTCGAACTACGTGGCTACTAAGCCATGGTGGCCACATCCGAAATCAACTCCAGCGGGTGACCTCCTCAATCTGAAAAAATTTTCGTTTTCCTCCAACGGACTTCTAGTATCTTTTTTTTTTTTCCCATCGATTTTCAAAAAAGTACTCAATTCTCCCCTCTAAAGTCTGGTTAACTTGAACAAAGGCCTTCCGATCGAGCCTTCCTTCCCAATCCTAGTGACCTCTGGACACACGTGCAATTAACCTATATACAGAAAAATCTGTTAATGATTTCAACACTATCTAGTTAAATTTTTAAGTCAATTTCTGAATGAAATAGCCAATAATAAATTTATGATTCTATTTTTTTGGAAATATTCTTTCCACAATTGTTCGATATTGAATTTTTATTAATATTAAAATATTTTTCAAAACTTTGAAAAAAAAAACATAACGATCATTAAATTCTCAATATGCACGACAAAAGATTTCTATTAAAAATATGTTTTACTTGTATGAGATTGTCAAGTAATTCAAAGTGAAGATTTGTTTTGGATAATATAAATGCAATCAATAATTTATTCCAATAATAAACAATTCTCAAATATACTTTTACATATAATAAATAAAAATCAATTCAATATTCAAATAAAACTTCACATATATCAACTATTGGATTTTTTGATTATATAAAATATTAATGAAATTTGCTAAACAAATTATCAATTGAATTCCTAAAAAAAAAAAAAAAACAACCGTGTAAACGAATTATGATGATGAATTACTATCACATATTTTAAACAATCGACAAATTTTATAAAATTTTACATTGAATATGTTAACAACAAAATCATCAGCATATTCAAGACAATCATTCAATACTTCAATCAAAAAAAAAACTGTTGCACAGCGCAATCCCTGTAGAATTAAAATGTGAAACTCAATGTAGCTGCTCTTGCTAATCAAAGAGAGAGATTGTTATATTCTATCTATTTTGGGATATATTTCTTCACGATTCTTTTACTTAATCCTTCAGAAATTCAATAAGAATATAGGTCATATAGTATAACGAGACATGATTGATATACGGTCTGTGATTGTATATCAACAAAGTCGGTCATGGCCTGTGAGAAGATTTCGTCTATCTAATAGAACATTTTAAATAAAAAGAAAAATAATATTAACGTATATTATTTGATAGTGTAAAATTTGATCTTGATTTTAATTCTTCTGTACAAATATGATCATTTAAAAACTTATTCATGTACACGATCTACTTCAAGATCAATAAGTCAAATAGAATAACAAAATTGTTTTGGAACAATCAAAATAAAAATACGTTGATGATTAATAATAAAAAGTTAGCATATAGTAGAAATAAACATATGAAAAAAAAAACAACATGGATTTATGATAAGTAGTAGATGCTTATGTGTATGGGCAGTAATGATTTTTTTTTATTTAAATATTCTTACCGATTGTAGATAAAAATGAATTCCCATTTTTCTTCATTTAATAATAATTGTACAATTTTTTCCTATTGGCATCTTGCTTGTACGTTGAGTCTACAAATAGTGTATCGAATTCTTTTTTTTATGTGTTATTTTGAAAAGTTTTGTTTTTTACTAATTTTTTTTTTTTATTTGTTTTAGAGATCATCAAAATTCAAATCCATTATCTTCAAGCAGTAATAATAGTAGTGACACCAGTGATTATGATGATGCAGTTGACAATTTTGATGATGAATGAATAAGAAAAGTCTTTTTATGAATGTATGCCTATTTATTTATTTTTTGTTTTGTTTTGTTTCGTTTCTCATTTATTGTTGTAGACAATATGACGATTATTTTGAGTACAATCTTTGTTGTTTGTTCGTCTTGTTTTCTTTTTGACCTTTCCCAAGTGCAATATAAGCGCGAAAAGAAAGTCAGAAGTATGAATGAAGAAGTTTTGTTTCCTTTGTTTCCATTTTATTGCAGACAAAAAAAAAATACAAAGAAATAACAACACAAGAGAAACGATATGTCTTTCAGAATATCTCTTTTATTTTACTCATATCTACGTATGTCAATTTTATTTTAATTTTTTTTTTGCGGGCACTTACATGTTTTATGTAGATGTTTATTTCGATTTTCTTTGTCGTTTTTTTTTTTCTTCTCTCTATTATTATGAATATTATTATACGCAATAAAAATAAAAGCGTTTCTCGTTGTGAAAAAAATGAATCTATTGTTTTCAAAACTTATTTATTATTTCAATCAGTTTCATGACATAATTAATTTATATCCTTGGAAAGTTTATATGAATATGATTTTGAGATAATCTATACGAGAAGGATTCTTGAAGATTTCATATAAAGTCATTATAGACACGACCGAACCATTCGAACTGATACCTACCGTTTGAGCTCATATTGGATCTACTAGGATGTCTTTTTGAGACTAGCAGAAGTTTAAAAGGATTTATCCACATGATTGTTTGGGGGCAGATTATCGAAAAATCAAAAAATAGTATTTCGACCTGGTTTTATCCATAAACAGATCAAATAACCAGTAGAATATTTTGAAAGTTTCAGCTGCAAATAATATTCTTCTGTCGACATATTGAATTTCCAAAAAATAATCGTTTGCTACAGACATGTAACAAAAATCGAGTTTACTTAAAAATTCGATATCTCGACAAAGAAAAAAACATTCTTTTTGACTAAAACTTTCAAGATATTCTATAGATCACTAGACCTATCTATGGGCAAAATTTTATGTCGAAATTTTGTTTTTTCATTTTTCCAGCGTGTACCTAAGTTGACTCGAAAATTCAGTAAATTGATCATAGCTTGGCTCTAAAAGCCCATAGAGATGAATCATTTTAGATTTTTTCTAGTCTCACCAAGACGCTCTCATGGGTCCAATATGAATTGAAATAGTGGGTATCAGTGTAGATAGCTCTCTCGTCAGAACCAATGCTTTGGCATTAATGATGATGAATAATGCCTTACAAATCAGATAAATTCTGAAAATTTTGTTTTTCAATACATGAGACTGATTGTTCTAAGCTTATAAATACTGAAATGGATTTAATGTTCAATTTTGACAAGAATTATGTTTTTACATATTTTTTACATTTTTGGAAATCTCAACTGTTGAGAACATCTATGAAAAACTTGACAATTTTGTGTTTTTATTTGAAAGAACATATCTGTAACTATGATTGTATTCTAGATGGATATTATATCATCACTCGTCTGGATAAAACGTGGAGCTGCTAAAGCTACTCCAATTAAAGTACTTAAATCTGATATTTAATTATTTTATATTTCATTTGAAAATTTTTTAGTTTATGCCCGAACAAGAAGAACTCGATAATATGATTGACAAAAGGTGGTAAATTGATCTATTCAAATTAAAATGACAATATTTTCTTAAATTTTTCTAGCGATCATAATGAGGATGAGACAACAAAAGATGTTGATATGGATGATGAAAAACGTGATCAACTTGACGATCGTAAGTTTAAAAACAAAAGCAAATTGTTGTTTTTTTTGTAAATTCTCATTCCTATTCATTATTTTTCATAGAAGAAGATGATGAAGATAATATTTTTATACCCGGTGTGGGTCCTATTGCAATGCATGCCTCTAATCGTGATGATCCTTTACTTGAAATAAAAGATGATGTAACTTTTCTTTGTATCTATTTTTTTGAATTATCTAAATAGAATACATTTAGGGAGAAGATTCAGATGCTGAAGATTATTTTATTCGACCAGATGATAATCTCATTGTCTCTGCACATATTGAAGATGATACTTCTAGTCTTGAAGTTTATGGTGAGTTTCATAAACAGAAAAAAAAAAAGATTTTTTATTTTGAACTAAAACTCGTTTTTAGTTTACAATGATAAAGAAGGTTATCTCTATGTACATCATGATATATTAATGTTAAATATGCCATTATGTCTAACATGGTTAGATTATGATGTTAATAATTCTAATGCAGGTTTGAATATAAAAAAATAAACTATTCGTATTTCTATTTCTTAATTTCTTTTTTTAGTTAATTATATTGCAGTAGGAAGTATGGAAGGTGTTATTGAATTATTTGATGTTGATCTTGTCGATCAACTGGAACCATTATATACATTTGGAAAAAAATCAAAAAAGAAAAAAACAAAATTATCTAAAAAAACTTCTAAAGTTTGTTTGAAGAAATAACAAAAATAAACAAAATTTTTATTATTATCTTTATTGTTGTTTTATAGAAAACAAATAATAATAAATCAAGTGAAGGTCATGATGGTGCTGTACTTGATTTATCATGGAATAAACTTGTTCGACAAATAATTGCATCAAGTTCAGCTGATGCAACTATAGCTTTATGGGATTTAAGTCAAATGAAAATGGCTTTACATTTACAAAAATTACATGAAAAACAGGTCGGTAAGTGCTAAGATTTATTAAATGAATTTATTCTAAACAAGATCTTTTCTTTTTTTTTCTTTTTTTTATATTCATCAGATTCAATCGATATGTTGGCATCCGATTGAAGCACAAAATTTACTCTCAGGTTCAGCAGATCGAACTGTATGTTTAGTTGATTGTCGTGATGCAAATAATAAAACAAGTCAACATCGATGGACATTTGATTCAGATATTGAACAAATTACTTGGAATACATTTGATACAAATCAATATTTAGTAAAAATAAAAACCTTGTTTTTTTTTTTTGTATTTTGCTTATAATCATTAATTATAGGCATCAACTGAAAATGGATATGTTTATGCGATGGATATTCGAAAAACAACAATACCTGTTTTTAGTTTATCTGCTCATAATAGTGCTGTTACTGGTAAGAAATAAATTATAAATAAAAATTAAATATTAATTTTTTTTAATAATTAGGTTTATGTTTAAGTTCGAGTGTACCTGGTCTTCTTGTAACATCATCATTTGATGAATGTGTTAAAGTATGGGATATTGATAATGGAAATGTAACATTTATTGCTGAACGACAATTTCAAACAGTAATATTAGAATTTATTCCAATTTTCATTTAAAATGATTATTAATTATAGGGTCGAATTAATACATGTCTTGCTAATCCGGATTTTCCATTTACATTTGCTTTTGGTGGACAATCAAAAGGTTTACAAGTATGGGATTGTTCAGAAAATTCAAATGGTATGATAATACGCATTTATTTTCCTACGATTTTTGAAATTATAATTTGAAAAGTCGATTTTTTGCAAGATTTTTATTATGTTATTGAATGTTAGAAATTGGAAAGAAATTTGTACAGAAAGTTTTGTAAACTTGTAAAATTTATACAAAAATATTTCTCATAATGACAAAGTTTATTTAATTTTCTTACAAAAATAAACATAAGATTTTATAGATTTATTTATATTTGAAATTCATTGTTCATTCAGAATCCGAAAAGAAAAACAGTTTTTCTGTAGTTTCAATATTAGTATTAGATTCACAAGTCTTATGTTTTCTTAACATATACAGAGAGAAGATTCACATTGAGTAAATCCATAGATATCCGACTGCTTTTTTAATTTGCAGAGCATTGAAGTGATTCCATAATATATTTTCAATAAAGAAACGCATTTTTCAATAGATTGTTGTTTCCTATTAGGTGTTTCTCAAGATTTTTCTAACTCGCAACTGACAGGTCACTATGACGACGGACGCAAAATATTGTCCATACCAAGTTTAGATATTTATTATAGACATAAATACTAAATAAAATCAAATAAGTTGCAGAAATTACATTGAAAAAAAATTGATTCTTAGCTGCGATTTTCTGCATCATTTACCCAAAGAGGCTAGTCTTCTAATGTGTTGAAGGCTTTAGTTTAGATGTTCTCTGCTTATCGATAAACTATTGGACTCAAAATCTTGAAACTACTGATAAGACGTTCATTAGACGTACCTGGTAAATGTATCAAATCTTCGATATTTCAGACAAAATTCATCAAATTTTTTTCGCTTAAAAACTGTTATCTGACTACTTCTCATCTAACGTGCACGAGTAAAACCGACACAGAATCTTTTTCTAGAAAAGTGTCCTTTAAAATATCATACGATCTATAAAGTCTGCTAATTATCTTTTTGCTTCTTAATTCTTTATCTTATGTTTTTTTCATAAAGGATATAATGACAAAACGTTTACTAAGTTTAGTGTTAAAAGTCTTTAGGCAGTGATACGATGTCGCATATCTTCATATGAAATAAATTTATTACTTTCTTTTTTCTTTCTAGTTCGATCACGATTTGGTTCTCGTGCAAAATTCGAAATGGTCGAAGTAGTTAATGAAACAGTATCAACTGTACCAATAGTTTCATCTTTTCCAACAACTGCACCGACTGTAACATCAGCTGTACTAAAAGCACAACGAAAAAAATTGTCTAAGAAAAATAAATAAATAAATGAATAAATAAATAAATAAATAAAAACTTCAAACATCCGACAGATTCAAAATCTTTATTGTGTGTCTTTTTTTCAAATTTCGATGACTTATCTTAATCATGATGTCAATCTGTTGACTTGTAAGAAATAGTTATGACTCAATCAAAACAGAAACTTCAGTATAAATAAGGAAAACAAAGAGGTTTTATTTTAAAGAAATAAACATGAATCGAATATATTCTTGGTTTCATAATAAGAATAATTTATCATTATCAACAATATCTCGTAAGGATTTTATTGAATCATTAATTGTTCATAAAAAGATTAAAGAATTTTTATCATGTTTACGACAAAAACATGATCGAACATTATGTATTGATGAATTTTTTGAATTATTACCAACAATACTTGATGAAAATTATATGACGAATTTATTTGAATTAATTTCTAAAATATCACGATTAACATCAAAACAATTATCAACAATAATTGTTAAAAAACTTTCACGTGCAATATCTAATGAAAATTTTGATTTATGTGAAAAAATTCTACATTTATCATTTCAAACTTTACAAATTTCTTTATCAACTTTTGAACTTATTAAATTGATTCATTCATGTTCAAATAAGAATAAATTAATCCGATGTTTATCCATTTTAATTGAAAAGAATCTTCCTCATGATTGTGAATATCTTTCTTGGATATTAATAATTATTTTTGAATATTATATTATTGGTGATGAAATTATTATTGAATATTTATTAAATCTTTAAAAAAAATATTAATTTATTATTTACATGTTATGGAAATAATAATATTACACTATTAATGCTTTTCTTTCATATATATTCAAATAATAAATGTCAAATACTTACAACGATATTTTTATTGACAGGTTCTGCTTCCAATCATCGACAAAGCTAACGAATAAAATAGATGAAACAGGTTCGTTTTTTGTGTTCCATTCATTATGAATATAAGAATAGTTTTAAAGTGTCATTTTTCAATGATTTTGCTATTATACCAACTTATAATAAGCATGATAGACTATCAAATTTTATTATTCGATAGCATATAACACATTTTAGTTGTACTCAAGTAGAACGATATAGTCTCAACGAACCGCCTATAATTCTGCAGATAGCTGTTGTTCACATTGTAATCCTTGTCATTCACCAGTAAAAATGACTATTCAAATTGATAAAGTCCTGAAAGCTACTGATTGATTGATTGAAAAAAAGTTTTTTGTAGTTGTCTTGTACTTTGTATACTTTTTCAGTACTTACAGAAAGTCTTCGTGGATAAACAACAAGTAGATACCTTTTTATGGAAAGAAAAGACAAAACATATTATGGATTTTTGACATTGATCAAGGAAAGTTGATTTCCAGCTAAAAATCAACTCTAGGTCTTCGTGAGAAATATCCATCGGTCAATTTTTAAGGGTCGTTTTCTCTTAAAAAAATTACGGCTTATAACTCGATATAACTAATTTAGTCCGATTCACATGAACTTTAGTAAAATAGATTTAACGCATCAAGTTTCAATGGTTAACATGAGGATGACAATGCAATGGCGGAGAGGATATTGGTGTAGACTTTCGCTTAAGATCTTCTCATCCTAATAACTCATCCATACTCATACTAACAATAGCTCATTTGTGGACAAAATAAACTGATTTATTTATTGTTAGAAGTCTGCTCTCTAGAAAAAAAAAGCATTTTACTGAATCTTTTATGGCTGCCCTAGATGAACTTCTTTTGGTCTGCGCGGGAGATACTTGAAACTCTTGATCAAGAAAGTTATGCCCTATGGACAAATCTTGAGACAAGACTTGAGACCTTATAGCAAGCTCAAGCTCTTGAACTTCTTGTTCTATCACTTGATATTCTTGCTCATGTGCTTGAAATTCTTACCCATGCGCTTGAATTCTCATTCAAGCGTTTCTGTTATTACGGAACTTTTTTAGTTTTTTTTCAATTTTACGTTCAAAAATAACTCAACTTTTAATAAAAATTCATTGTTGCATTTTCTTGAGTTGAGCGCATTAGTTTCTTGTAACTCATGCAAACACTCAAGCGCTTGTCTTGAGCAAGAAAGTCATGCGCTATGGACAAAACTTAAAGTCTGCGCAGGTCAAGAGCATGAAAAAAAAAGTTCACCTAGGGTGTACATTTCGGTACTATTTTCTCAACCTTATCAATTTCCACACTTTGACTAAAACTCGAGAATGTAGGTCTCCTTTGTTTCTATACGTACGTCCTCTATTTGCAGAGTAGTTTTTAGAAATTTCTCGATTACTTATGTGAAAGCAACATCTTTTTATGGCAACTTGGGTCGATTTTTACCCTTTTGTAGTGAGTAACATAAAAAATGCTTTTTCTAGAGTTATTTTGCTTTCTATGTAGACTCAAAAATAACACGAGCTTCATGTTTAAAACTTTATTAGAACTAATAGACTGTTAAAACGCGTTCCACAGCTGTTTTTAAAACATTTTTTATCGACAAAAAGATAAAAACCTATGGCCTAATGTTATGGTCTTCCATCTGAACAAAACTTAACAATAGGAATGGGTAGCTTCGAATCGGAATCAGAATCAACAATTCCATATTATAAAAAGAAAATGAAGGCTAACAATGCGGACACAATCCTGAATATTAGAAATCTGATTGAAATCCGAAGAGAGCCGCCTTAGCAATTGCCTAACCATATATCATTCCCTGAAATGACTTATTTTTCAAAAAATAATTTATAGTAAGTAAATTTTCAGCTTTATACAGATAAAATAATTGTATAACTGTAAAAAAAAACCATTAAAAAAAATCAGATTAATAATAAATTCAATTTTTATGTCATTCAGAACGAATAGGTCATTTTTGACCCATATTTATCTTCATAGTGAAATGATTTTGCCTAAATTTAACCATATCTGTGTCATAATTAGAATCTTTGTAATCTATTCCCATGATTCATTCAACAACAACTCTATTAGATTAGTGTGTCATAGGGTAAAGGGTTACATTTATTTAAACTTTAGCTGAAAACAACGGACATCTGTCGACTATATCTATGTATTGCATTCATTTTAGCGGCGAACGAACACAACGATTATGTATTCTATTCTCTTCGAAAAAATTCAAAATTTCAATTAATCAAAACTAATCATTCGATTCTAACTATGGCCAATGTTCGAAAATCGATTGGCAAGTATATGATGAACTTTATAAAGTTCTATATATTTGTATGTGTTATTTTTTTTTCAGAGGGCCGAAAACGAGCTCGAACTATGGAATATATTGATAGTCAAGTTGATATTAATGATGATGAACCTAATGAAAAAAATACTCATATTGGTCAACATATTCATGCTCAGTTTGATGTTTCTATGTCATTTATTGATGAAACAAATTTAAATGAATCTACATTCGAACGAATTCTTCAACCTATTCCATTAATTCCAAAAATAACAAAAAAAAGAGACAGTGAACGTTCATATCTTCAAAGACAAATAAGCGACATTAGTTTAAATCGTTTTATGAATGATACAAATAAAACAACAACGGAATTAAAAGGTCGTGATCATATAGTTCGTGTTATGAAAACAACAAATAATAAACCGGTTATGGACTTTAAAAATCATAGATTTATACAAGAAATGATTGCTAAACGGCAAGAAAAACAAGAATCTAATAAACCACTATCTGATTTTGCATTAAAGTATGGCTTAATTGATAATAATGGAAAAAAATCTAAAAGTCGAAAAACATCCGAACTAATGTAAATTTTTTCTTTTTGTTTTTTTTTCTCTATTTATTTTCTTTTTGTTTTTTTTTCTCTATTTATTTTCTTTTTAAAGTATTGATATGGAACAACAATTAGAAAGTTTAAAACCAACATTAACAAAACGACAAATAGTCGATAGTAAGTATATGAATATACATTCCGAAAAAAAAATTCATTGAAATTTATTTTCATTTCAGCTAAAAGTCCATTATTAAGAGTGGTTAAATTGGAATCAGTATGTAATCAACTACTATGTTATTGTCAATATGTTACTGATCAAGAAGATCTTGTACTTTTTCTTGATCCAAATGATGAACAATCAAAAAACTTAGCAATTAATGATGAAATACGTATTGCAGGAGAATCACAGTAGATATTCTTTTTTATTCAAAGATTTTTCTTTATGCTTTTTTTATATATGTATTTTTTCAAATAGATTAAATATGAATTTACCAGAATTAGGTTCAGTTATATTAGGTATAACTGATGTAAGAAAAGAATCAACTAATAATAATGAAGAAGATATTTCAATGGAAATGATTCATACATATGATTTTAATTGTTCATGTAATAAATGTACTTTGGGTGATCAGATTGACCAAGATTTAGGTAAAATATATCGTAAAATTAACGAGAAGAACTTGCCGAATTTGGTGACCTATCTTCAAGCAGGATATCGTATATGAGATTTTATAGAGCAATTTGTAGCACATCCAATGGTATGTCAGAAATCAAGTTTTGATGTTCTGAGGATCCATAGACTAGTTTAAATCCTGAATAAAATATATATGGTAGTCATAGACATTGTGATCCCTAAGATATTGTAAGATAAACTTATGCAAATTTTGTTTTTAAACTCAATTCGATATAGTTATAAGTTCTCTTCAATTTTTTATACTCAATAGTGTTTCATTCTTTCTTTCTGCATACTTAAAAATGGTCTCTTTTCTTAGATATAGGTTATTTGTTGACTATATGGTATTGCAGTGCGTTCAACTCTATGTCATAGTATGAGTATCAATGTGAAACTTTCTCTAAAATTGCATATTATCGAGTTCTATATTTTTCATGCGTAATATCTTTTGAAACAGGAGGATTTGATTGTTAACTTGCACAATTGTTTCCTAGAATATCCTCTTTTTCTATATGAGAAGATCGGTATATTGACAATATTTTAATAATACTCAACATATCTATAAAAAATTCTTATATAACAATAATCACCACAGCATTCCTCATTAACTGATATAAATAATTCTTCCATCAACGAGAAAAAAGTTTTTCAGTAGCAGATCTCTGAAACATAGTACGAGGATATGAAAAAAATATTTTTTTAAAATGAATATGGAATATTTATAGATTCTTGTCGAGTTTCATACAAAAATCAAACTTGAATTCTCGGAATAAAAATTTGAAAAAGAAATAATAAAAATAACAGACTTCCTTCTTGCAATTCTGTATCCGTCCACCTCTGCAGAGATTTGGAACCCAAAAAATTATTTCCGTTTAATGAAGAAGTTATTTATATCGATTCATGAGTGATGCTGTACCGATTATTGTTATATAAAAATTTTTAATAGATATGTTGAGTATTGTTAAAATATTGTCAATATACCGATCCTCTCATATAGGAAAAGAGGATGTTCTAGAGAATAATCGTGCAAGTTATCAATGAGTCCCTTCTGTTCCAAAATGTATTACGCATGAAAAATATAGAACTCAATAGTATGCAATTGTAAAGAGAGTTTCACATTGGTACTCACTTGTTCTGTAACATAGAGTTGAACACATTGCAATACCATATAGTCAACAAAAAAACCTAAATCTAAGAAAAGAGACCATTTTTAAGTATGAAGAAAGAAAGAATGAAACACTATTGATTATAGAAAATTGAAGAAAACTTATAACTATATCGAATCGAGTTTAAAAACAAAATTTACATAAGTTTATCTTACGACATCTTAGAAAACATCAAAATTTGAGAAAAACTTAGTATCTTATACACCATTAGATGCGTTACAAATTGCTCTACAAAACTACATATATTGCATCATGGCTCAAGATAGGTCACCAAATCTGTCAAGGTTCTTCGATAATATCTCTTTTTAGCACCAACATTTGATCTTCTCTCTACATTTCCTAATGATGCTAAACATCAACAACAAACTCATTCGATTGAAAACATTTATGATTCGTTCACATTAGCTTTAATGTCTAAGCGAAAGTTTGATCTTCGTGCAACAATAATTATCTATGATCCTGATATAATTAATAATCGGTATTTTCTTTTTTAATCAAATTTGTTTTTTCTCTTAATTAATTGAGTATTTCTTAGTTATATATTTATTGTTCGTGATGGTATTGGTAATTGTCTTCAAATACTATTAACTGATATTAATGGACTTTATATTGAACTGAAAACAAGAAATTATATATTTCATCAAATAGAATTTATTGAAAGAATTGAATCACCAAAAGAATCGAATCGATGGCCATATGAAGACTATTTACCACCTAAAAAACTTTTTTGTTTCAGATCGATTCATAATCAAGTGTCCATACTGTGATGTTTTTCTTTTCGTTTTTTTTAAATTTTGTATGATTGGTTTTCAGTAAGATTAAACAAATAAATTGTGAAATATAGAAAGGCGTAGCTCAGCACTGAAGTAAGTGTGGAAGAATTGCAAAAGTCAAGGAATGGGAGGGAATAGCAAGCCTAGAAATAAATGTTAACATTTTTTGAAAAAAACTTTCCTTCTCAAAATATGTTTATTCAATTAATCATTCTTCATTGTCAAATATTTTTTAAACTTTAAAAACAAAACAATGGAGACAGTATTGTAAGTACTTTTTGAAATCAGTCATATTATCTCCACGATGTTGTTTTAAATGAGATTTAATTAAAATAAGATTTAATTAAAATTTTCTATCAATGCAAAAGTATCAGATATTCCTAATTGATATTGTAAGGTTATTCAACTACACTGTAGAAATGTTAAATTCTGTTTAAAATTCTATTCATTCGAAGTATATGCTAAATATTTCACATAAATTTAAAATCTAAACGATAATTTAATTGAAATTTAAACTCTATAGATGTCGTTTAATATCATAGCTTATCATAGGTCAGTTATTTTACTGACAACCATTGCTATTTTTCGTTGGACTAACAATATGATTTATTTCAAAAACTTTGTTTTCATGTTTTAGATACTCCTTTATTATTATAAAACGATGCCAAATTCACCAGATAATAATATTGGATCTACACAAAATTCTCGTATTATACGCGTTCGTGATGTAAGTTTCTCTAATTATTGACTAGAATATTTGTTGTCTTTTTCTTTTTATATTAGTTATCAATCTATTATGATCCAAAAAATGATGATATTCATCGTTATATTCCACGAATAGATGATGATGATCAAAAACAACCAGTTAATAATAATAATAATTGGCTTTATTCATCTGTTAATCAAACAAGACAATCATTACAACAAATATGGAACGATAATAAGGTTTTGTTTTTGTATATTCTTATAAAAATTTTTTAGTTTTTTTTTTATTAAAAATCATATATATAGGATTTACGTTTAAGAGTTGCTCGTGGATTGGAAACAGGTGAAGCTCATACTAAAGGTAATTAATTTTTCATTATATAATTACATGAACAAAAACAGAACGTGATCATCTTCGATTTGACTTTGATTCTTTATAAGAGATATTTCTTTTTTTTTTTATTATTTTGAACAAGTTCTTTTCTCATGAATATAATATCGACTCTTTTAGCTAACACGTAATAAAACTTAATCAGTTAATTAATTAAAATGTAATTTAGCTAATAGGTCTCTAATCCTATGACAGACAAAGCCAAGAATTTTAGCATAGACTCCATGTCACAAACTGTATCTATGGTGAAATTTTCAGCAAGATCAAAATATCTGTTTTCTAGAGGTATGTTCATGAATTTCTCATTCAATTACATGAGGATTTTGCGTTTCTAACACGAGTGGGTCATAATATATTGCACTAAATATAAATGTGCAATTTTTTCTCGTACGTACTCTTCATAGAAAAACTTATTTATAGACCAAAAGATAGAGAATTTGAAGCTCTCTCAAAACTTGTACTTCAATTTTAAAAAGAAATTTCTTTCTTTGCATAGCAATTAACACACTGACATGCACCGTATTATGAAAAGGGATCTCGTAAACAAGGAATTTTACATTAGGAGATAAAGAATTTTCTCCTCTATCTGGTTGACTTACTTTTGAATATTCAAGTTTTTCTAAAGAATTAAAAGCATTCTTTTTGATAGCTGTTCAAGGATTTTTAAGTTAAATTTCAATTGCAAAGTCTCTGTTTTTTGCACTGAAAGATGCAGAATTCTTATTCTCTAGAATGCTAGGTGAATCGAAGTGCAACATCCTTTCACCATGCTCATGAAAAGATGGATGTAAAATTCAGTGTTTTTCCATTTTTGTTTTTGATTTCCTAACTTTTCACCTGAAGCTTTCGTTTGAAGTTTCGAGATATAGTCGAAAAGATAGAATATATCATGGAAAATGCTTTCATTCATTCAGAAACCTAATAAATGTCTCATTAGGGATGTCACGCGATTTTTTCTTTGGTTTCAGTGTCGCAATAGGAATATACATTACATGTCAGTATGTTGATTTTTATATAAAGGAGAAAAGTTGTTATTTTTTTTTATATTGAAATACATCAGCATATAACAAAAGTCTATAAGATTGGATTTTTTGAGAGCATCTAGAGTAAGTCAGTATGCATTTTTCTTATATAAAAATTAGCTAAAAGAATATTCAGAGATATATGTATTTAATTTTTTTAATTCTTATAGCTACGATTGATTATATTCGTGATGATCAAACATTATTACCAAAAGTTGGTGTTGTTACAATTGCTGGTCTTGGTGGTCTTCTTCTTGGTCACAAAGGTGGTCCTATACGAAGAACATTTTATTCATCCATTGCTGTAGCTGTTGCACTTAGTGCTTGTTATCCAAAACAATCAGCAAATTTATTGGATCAAGTTTATATTAGAATTAAAAATGAATCAAAAAATTTTTTTGATAGTAAAATTATACATATATATGAATAAAATGTTTTTTTTTTTATGTATAAAAATGATCTTTATTTTATAGAAACACCTTCAAATCCAATACCAAAAACTATCGACAATAAAGATCGTATTTTACATATAGGAAAAACTGAAAATAAATCAAATATTATAATTAAAGGTGATTATGGACAAGGTACACCAGCTGATCAACATTTATATACAACACGTAGTAATGTTAATTCAGCACCGTTGGATACAGAAAAAAAACTTTAAATATATATTCTTTAATATTACTACGCCGTTTGATTATATTTTAGTTAGTTGTGTACGTCATTTTCTTTGTCTTTTTTTTCTCTTAAAAATTCTTTAAAACGTACAAGAAGATTTTAATTTTGACAATGGTTTATCAACTGTAACTATTGTAGATATTTGCATTTATTTTATTCTTGCGACTTAATTTAAGCAAAAAAAAGAAAAGATTTCTTGTGTTTCATTAAAACATATAAATTATTATTATCAATATGAAATATTTTTTTTCTCATGATATATTATTCATAATGATAATAATATTGGATTTAACTTTCATTCATTTTCTAGATTAAATAAATTATGAATGTTATTTTTTAATCATTCACAATTTTTTTGTTTCCTTATTATACTAATTTGTTTTATACAAATGACAACATCGACAACAAAAACATGTTGGCCAGAATTAGTAGGTAAAACAGCTGATGAAGCTGTACAAGCAATTAAAGAAGAATCTGGTAACAAGAAAAATTTTTAATAAAAAAAAAAAAAACAAAAGAAATTTCTTATCGATTTGATCACATTGATTTAGGTTTATCGAAAGTTCATGTCTGTGGACCAGGATCAAGAACTACACGTGATATTGATGATGAGCGTGTTCGTGTTTATGTCGATGAAGATAATCGAGTAACCAGTCAACCAATTATTGGATGAAAAAATAATCGATTGAATATTTATCTTTGTGTATATAAATACTTAAATTAAAATTTAATAAAAATAAATCTCATATTCTATAATGAACTAATGAATTTGATAAAATAACTCGACTGATAAAAAGTGTCTTATAAGTTTAGATCCCTTTCAAGTAATATTCTTTTCTTATATGTTTTTTCGGTAGAATAGACTGATATTTACAGCATATACACAGTAGTTACAAGAACCTTCGCTACTGGTTAAAAAAATATACAAAATTTTAATCCCTTAATCTGATATTTTGACTACAAATGGAGTTCGGTAAACCTTGATTACAAGCAACAATCCGAAGTCTGTATGCCTTAATGCAAAGAATTTACAATGAAAACACTGGTTTTTTTCCCTAGGATCCAAAAAAGACTTTTTTTGACATTTTTCTTGTTTTTCACTGTTTAAAATGCGTTAGCCTCCATTTTCTTACTAATAAATAAAGGTTCACATATTTATATTGTGTCATAAACAGAATATTCCAGTTCACTGTAACATTGAGACGCAAGGAAGCCTCCATTGGTTAGATTGGTCTCAGCACAAATCTGTTCTTTATTAATGGCTGCGATCATGAAATTTTCCAGAAAAATTTTATTAGAACAAGGCGCTCATTCGGGAAAATTTTACAGCAAATGATTAAAACTAGCCGAAGATATACGTCACTTTTCAACAATTTCCTGTCAACTCTCATGTAGAGATTACTTCATAAATCAGGCAAACTAAAACCATTTGACATGGAATTTTTATTGGTGATAGAGACACAGTACTGAGCAATCGAATGAGGAATCTAACATTATGAGATTTATTTTCTATGTTGAGATATTCTAGTCGGAAGAAAAAATTTATGTTAGCCTTCTAGCTCCTCCGTATGGAGATCGATCAAGTTCTGATTGTGTATTGCGATCAGAGTTCAACATGTGCCTATTTGTGATGAAACTATAAGTTTGAAGAATTAAACTTTAGGGACTTTTTTCGACTATTGTCTAGACATTTAGATCTACTCTATACTTTCTATCTCTTATAGTCACAGAGATACAAGTGACATAAAATTCATAGGAATTTTTTAAATAATTTTTACAAACAGCATGGACGAAAATAATTGTAATTATTCAAACAATCATTCATAATGAGTAACTTTTAGTTTTCTGCATTCTGTAAGTACAAGTTGAGATCCTTATTTACATATCAACTTGTCGATCAGAAGCTACTCTACAAGATGCAATATTTGAAGTTTTTTTGTTTTGTCTTTCGACAAGGTATCTCAATTTTCATTTTTCCTAGATAATCATTGTTGAAAAATCAACAACCGTTTTACGTTGAAAGGAACTCTGGAAAAAATGATTGATTACAAACTACAGCTTAGTTCAAGATTACGTTATGTAATCAAGTGTCCACTCTACAAAACAATCGACTTCGACAAGGTCTAGCATGTTCGAAAAGAGACTTATAGAATAAATAAAAAACCTGTTGACTCATCATTAAAAATAATTTTCTAGATCTTTTAAAAAGTCTCTCACTATTCTTGAAGAAAAATAGACACAATATTTCTAATCCCATATTTAAAATCTGGTTCCGACTTATAATTTTACTCGTCTGAAATACTTTCAATCAGCCCTATTTTCACCGAGAACGTCAATCTACAAGTTCCGTTCAAACTAACTTTTTGGATTTTCCATAAATAATTTCACTACTCTCGAACAAAAACTGAAACAAAATTTCTAAGTCTATATTCAAAAAGAGCATCCTAATTCATAACTTTTGATAGTTTCTAGCTGGTTAAAAGTACACAAATATCTTGTCTAAAACCTTTCTAATCACCCATTATATACTGTAAATATCAACCTATTCTACTGAAAAAAAAAACATATGAGAAAAGAATTTTATTTGCAGCGGATCAATATCCTTTATATAAAGACTTTAGAAAAGGATAAATCGCCATATTGATAATCTTTTCTTTTTTAGTTTTGTCTCGTCATTTGCATTTCATTAAACAATTGAACAATGAAAATCAAGGATAAAGATGCGCTTATATTAATAGTAGAGACCAATAAAGCAGAAAATGAACTATTTGTATGCGAATGACAATTGTCATTGTTTACTCACACATATCTACTTCTTTTCTTTTCATGTCAACAAATATTGATCGAAAAGAAAAATACATCTTCTTTCATACAAATATGTTAAGCTATTATATACTAAATCAACAAACATTTTTGTAATCAAATTTTGAAATTTCTTTTTGTTTTC